ACTCTGAAGATGACTTCCACTCAGGTTGTCGAAACGTCAGTCACCAACAACAGTTCTTTTCAGAACTACACTCACCTGGATGATCACACTATACGAACTCCTTATTTTACACTTATTTTTAATTACTACACTTGAACAGTGCCAGCAATAACAGTTACTGCACTTACTGTGAGGACATTTTCATAATAGCGAAGTTTTAGTCTAACTGGGTTGGGACGATTTCGGAAATCTCGTAAGCAACCACCACGCTGGAGATCTTGTCCATCTCTAAGAAACAATAAATTGTTGTCAGCGATTATTGTAAATGTACTGTATTATTGCTGGCTTTGACTCACTGAAGTACAAAAAAGTAAAAAAAAAAGACGTTCTGAAATAATTACACTATGGCAGAGTTGTGATGACATGGTACATGTAGGTTAGTACTGATACACACATATAAGATATTAAAGACTGGGTCAGCAATGTTGGTTGACTTGCTTGTAAGAACAGGAACTTAATAGATATTTACAAAAAACAAATAATGTTAGGATAGATATTTCCACACCATGTAAAAGATGACGTAAAGATTTGCTAAAAAACTAAAAAAATATGAACAATTTCGGTAATTAATTAAAACTTGGTACTTTCAAAATAAAGTACAAAATAATGGAATTTGCACATACTTGTTATGGTCATAGATCTGATTTCCATCATTTAGCATTACTGAAATAAACGGATTGTTTCCCTGAAAAATGAAAAAAACCAAAACAGAATTTACAAGCAAGGTTTGTTCAACTTTGTTACATCTAGAGGTTTGTTACACTAGACTAGTTAACACTATATTTCAAGCTTGTGTACTAAGTCTAGTAATAAAAGCAAGCTACGCTTTTTAATGTGAAATACACAGCCTGCCATGGAGCTATGTGATAAACATATCCATAGCTGTTGCCCACCAGTAACCTTGGTTGACAACTTCTCACTATCTTTCTCATTTTGATATGACTAAATAATTCATGTAAACATCACAGCAAGTGACCTACCTGTTGATCATTATCAAATGAGTCACAGAAAACACCAAGACCTTTCCATGTGTTACTATTTCCAAATGCTGGGCCCTCTACACCTGCAGTCTCTGTATACCAAATTGCCTGAGTCACAACAACAACAAATCAATGTTACCTTAAATAAGCAAGGTAATACATATAAGTATTGTCAAATACATAATGTATAAGAGATAGTACTGCCTACAATATAGATAGAGTTACAGTGGACTGTTAGTAAAGAAAGTTCAGACATGTAGCAGAAATGTGCAATCAAAAATAATATTATTGTTAATGGTATTTAAGATTATCTAGTGTTTGTATTTGTTTTAAATTTTACTAATTTAAAACAATTATTCACCTCCATGTCACTGAAAGTGGTGGATGGGCAACCACTCACTGTGTCACAACATTAAATAATACTAATACTAAAAAAAAATAAAATAAGGCCAAATGATAGGCTAAAGGATTTTCTTCTTAAAGGAAGCACTGAATGTATATTTTTAAACTTTTGCTCAGAGGCTATTACAAACTAACTAAAATAACCATTGATAAGCCACAGTACAGGATGGTGTAGTTCTGGTTTTGTACATGATGGGAGGTGAATGATTCGTTAAAAAAAGTATCTCGCAGAACTTTAGCCGGTCCATCTTTTGTGACACTGTCTTTGACTCTCAATTCCTATTATTTTATTTCATTCCTTTTAATTGCATGGCTAGGAAAGTTTTTGAGCCGGTAGTAGAACAGATTTTCACCTTGCCATCCAGTCTGGAATTTATACTTCTCACTTACCCTTACATGCAACATCATAACAAGTTAACTGACCTGTTGATAAATACTGTAAAACTGTAACAATATTATCTTACCACACCATCTCCACCTAATCTTCCTCTGCCAGTTACTTTAATGGCTATCTCTGCTTCCCACCAATCATGGGGGAAAGTACTCTTTGTCCATACATAGCCTGATGAGAGAAAACAATATTTTATAATGTCTTGGTGATAATAAATGTCAAAAAAAAATCCATGTCATTCATCTGAAGGATTCACATGCCACTAATCACTGACATAAACGAATCAGGCTGACCAATGTCTTGCTTGTGTTGTTGAGGATCACAGCAAAGTCCTAAGGATAGGCCATATTCGTATTCTCCATATTGGACTGGAACTAACTTGCAACTGAGGATAATGTGGGAAGTCTTTTCCAATGCAATTGACATTAACCTCTTTTTAATGATACTTCCCTACATGAGCATCCATTGCAAGCTAATTCCAGTCCAATACAGAAAGTACAAATATGGCCTATTGTCTGATGGCAAATGCTACCTGAGTCTTTTTACATCAAACAGTAAATCAGATTACTAACTCGAACCTAATTTTCATTCTTGTCAGGCCACAGTCATGGTCTGACAAGAAAACAAACAAAAACAAACTTGTTCCCAGAGTCTTCTCCCTCCCTCCCTTAATAATAATGGCTACTTGGTTACTAAACTTTGTCATATTGACAGGAAGAATAATTTACTGGGTTCAAAAGGCAAGTTTTATTTGGGAGCTAACTGACTTATGTGGGGGCTAATCAACTTTAGATTGGTGGCTAATCGAATTCTGTTTGGGGACTAACAGGCTAGGGGCTAATTGACTTGGGGACTAAATGACCTACGTTCTGTGGATGAATTTGTCTCTGGTATTTATCTCTTACTGTAGGCCAAGTTCAGACGCCAACCTTTTCATGAGCCGAGCCTAACACGTTGAATTAAGTACATGAAAAATTTGGCACCTGAATCAGTTAAGAACAGCTATTTGAAATTGGAATGGCTCAGCCGTTCTTCCCGCCTAGCTCAGCCAGGAATTTCCGCTTTGGAACGGCTTTGATTCAGATATCAAACTTTCATGTGCTGAACGTAACACATAAATCATTAGAGCATATCTTACAACCATTTTTGCGGTATAAATAAAGTCTTTACTTAGTTTACGCTTACCTGAAAATCGCTGACATTTCAATACGATTTGGTTCAAACTAAATAAATTTTGACGAATTAAGTTTGACGTCTGAATCAACAGGTGTACCTACTTTTGATAATTTGGGTTGGTCCAAATTCAAATATTTAAGTTTGGCTCATGAAAAGTTCAGCATCTGAACTGGGCCTTACTGTCAGTACAGTAAAACATAAATATATGTTATTTGCCGGCTGGGAGGTCCATATGGTGAAAAACTGTGACCGAGGTCTTGAAAATGCTGCC